GAAAAAAAAACCTGTCATGCTAGATATCTCGAAAACCATCAATATTTTCGAAGTGCAGATATACATAAAGTTTATTTTATTTTCTATGAAGAAACCGAAAAAGCGATAAAAAATATAGGTTGCCATTTAAAAAGACACAGTTGGGATCCGCCCAGAAAAAATCGAACACCCTGTGTGACCGCCAATATTTTTATTTTGTCGAGCTCGAGCAATAAGGTAATATTATAGAAAATTAGATTCCTATCTGCTTCCTATATAGAGATATGGAACACCGCGCCACTGTTGCAGGACCCTGCATACTATTTGTAATTACTTTTTATATGTATCCGATCAAGATTTTATTTGACGTATCCCATCTATGTAATGTAGCACAAATAATAAATACATTTTATCTATCTATCTGATGTTCAAGTTGTGGATATCGGTGCGGTATTTCATTTTATGATAAAAATATGGAGGTGCTTTATCAGTAATAATTTTATGATACATACACGCACTATGAAGATGTCTCCTGTTTTCCATACTCAACCATTTTGTTTCATGTGAAATCTTTTGGTGCCTCCTTAATCCATGTATTAGCCGAAGACACGAGTTCTGTACTTTCTGGATTTTTTATTTATAGTTTGTGGTCAGATTTGGGCGATATAAAATATCTGCATAATTGAATAAAGAAAGAACCAATGTTTCACATAAAGTAATTTTTGTTGAGGTGGGAAAAAATNTTTTTTTGCACATCATAATAATGGCCGCGAGTTTGCGTCAGATCGAAATCGTCAGATTACTGAATGAGAGCTTTTTTTTGTTGCACTTAACACCCCCTTAGAAAATCTGACGCGCTCGATAATTTTTTTTCTTTTCACTTTTAACCCTTACGTACAACCAAGCACATCATGCAAACAATCAGATCAACATACCAACATTATAAAAAATACGTAGAACATTGATGCTATCAATATCTGACGCGCTCGAGTATATCCATGCAACAGTATTTTTTACATATTTAAAAAAATCTATAGCCGCTTCCCCCACCGATGAAAAGGTATGTATTATATCATCTAAGCTTTGCATCCTAATATGTCTCAATGACGCTCGAGTAAATTCCCATTTTGCATCGTGGGCTCCCCTGCTCTATTGTTGTTCAGTATATTAAAATACAATTTTTTGCCGCAATATCACAAGCAGAAGTTACAACGTATACAAAATTCTTGCATGCGATTCGTATGCTGTATAGAGGTAATACAACTCTATTTATTTCGCGACCAACCACGTTAAGTTTCGAATCAAGCCTGATTATTATGAAGATGACATAATCATTCGAATTGTGAGTCGCGCTAACAACTACATAAATTGTAGTTTCCAGAGTTTTCTATGTAGAATCCTAGTGTGGATTGAAAATGATACTAATATTGTTCTACTTAACGATTGGAATCATTTAGACGTTAGCTTAGCAATCACAGAAGAATGTACAGCTGTAGTTTCAGCGTGATCCAGCTGTAGTTTCAGCGTGATCAAGATCCAAGTAGTGATCACCAACTACTCTAGGGAACGGAATCCCTGAAGAATTCTCATTGAACCGCTGTTCAGCTCCAATTGCCTTTCTCAAGGCAAAAATAAATCACGGTCTTTGTTAACACCTGCTGAATTTCAACAGAGCTTTTCAGGTCTCCTACATCCAACGATGTGTGGCAGCTGGCCTCTAAATTGTCGTCATCAGGACTACCCCGAAGAGAATTCGTCTACTACGGCTCCGGTCACAACGAGGGACTCACTAGCCGGCCTCCTTCGACGTATTTGCCCTACTCAGAGCCACATATATCTGTAGATACGCCAACCCAGCTGACTTACGGGGCAGCCTACATGGCCTACAGCTTACATGGACAGTGTCACTGCACTGGCAGCTGGGGGCTTAGAACTTCTAGCCGTTCGCACCAACGGGATAGGT